TATGAATTTTTCCCATTCCTCAGATATATTATGTTTTGGATATGTATCTAGCACGAATTTATCCCAATATTCTTCCGTAATTCCATCCGTGAAGCTTGAAGTTGGTCTCATATCCATGATGTCGCTACGACATAAACTAATAGCCATTGTTGATAATAAGTAAGACTACTATTTCGAGTCACAAGAAATGATCTTACTCACTCAAAGTTGTTTCCGCATTCATCACAGTAATCTTTAAAAATTTCCTCCAGATCAATGTCATCCACTATCAATGGGGTCCTTTCTATTCTCCCAACCATTGATTCCGATGCTTCCCTCAAACCATTCTCCGAGTCTGAGTTATTGTGTCAGTAATGTAGCGAAATTGTAGTATTTTGCAAATATACTATAAACATAGTACCTCTTCCATTTTGAGGTTGGTGTCCATCTTCTCGATCTTTCTCATTCATATTTTCATTTTGTTTCATGTAAGCTTCACTCTCTTCATCGATAGACAATGATGTGTCAGATATGGAGGAACCTTTAATCTATTGACAAGATATGAAAAGGTGAGAAAATATTTCATGGTTAAATGGCATTTGCGATTTTCATACCGACTTTTTTGATGCCTTCGGGGACTGTGACGTTATTTACACGTTTTCTTGGGTTCGTCTATAAAATAATATATAAGGGTAAACAATTGCCATTTGATTTTATCCTTCTATTAATTCCATGATTACAACAATATATTCATACCAGTCTAGTATTGACGTTCTCAATAGTGGAACGAGCATTTCCGATGGCAGTATCGACAACTTTTACAGTATCATGCATAATTGATCTAGAAGCTTCTTCCTGCAATCATGAAAAAAATACAGTCAATATGGGCAAGTTTGATTAGACATATCAGAAAATTAGTTAATAAACCTCAATGTCATGCAACTCCTCATGTAGTTCAATTTTCCTCCAAAACGCGTCAACGTCACTAAAGTATTCCCGATGTCCCTATAATTCACATGAATTAGTATTGTATAAATAAGCACGATCGATTAGAGGCATGTCTAGAGGTAGGCACAACGGACAAGCAGACCATAAGGTAGACAGCAAGCAGTTGTCCACCGTAGTTGTGAGGGTTTCCTTTTTCCACAGCGGACAATCAGACCGTAAGGCGGACAGCAAGCAGTTGTCCACCGTAGCTGTGAAGCCTCCCTCTGCCAGTTAACCATGCAGAAAACGATAAAAAGAAACTTTACCTTAAAACTTTTGTTTAGTAGATTAGCACCCTCCTTCATTTCGTCCGAGCCATTTGTTATTAGACTACCGAGATCCTTTTTCAGTTTGTCAGATTCTTTCTGAAACGAAAAGGTGAAGTCTGACTGTTGTGATCGATACTCGTAAAAGTCCAGAAAACGATAATCTTCGGGATGTGTTTCATCGAAATAGGCACTCCAAGTCGAGACATGATTTATGAAAAGTGAGTGACAGAATAGATTACTTTTATCTAAAATGGTTACGCACATCATACAAACATGACACGCGTCCGTTCGGCGCAGTAATATGACGCAGTAGACGATAACTGATACTTTTTATTACACAAAATCGGACGCAGTAAACAATTAAAATTCTAATAAATCTAAAACAGACCTTGCAGGAAAAAAGCTTATAGATCTTTTTGGCCCTTTCCCTCCTCTTTTATAAAGCATCAGAAAATTTGTTTTGGGAATTTCCCTCATAACCTCAACTTTGGACAATCTTGCAAAAAGTTGTAACATTATAACGAGCACAAGCCCTTGCAAATAGCCCAAAACCATATCGTGAAGATATCACATTTCAGGCTATGAAGTCTGATAAAATTCCAAAGCTGAATTCATTCTCTTCAGAAAGCGGTAAAGTGGCTATGAAGTCTGATAAAACTCCAAAGCTAGATTTATTCTCTTCAGAAAGAGGTAAAGTGGTTATATTCGAAGATGTATGCACTGATCCAAAGAAAGTCCAGGAGAAAATCGTTCCTTATTTTACTGAAGGGCGTCATAAAAATATTAGTAGTATGTACATCACACAGAGCTTTTTTGAC